GGGGGGTCCCAGGTGTCTGGGGGGGGGTCCCGGTACCTTCTTCTTGACGAGGGACATGACGCCGATGCGGGTGAGGACCTGCTGCCGCGAGAGCCCCTCCCGGGGGACCCCGTCGGCGAAGGTCTCGGAGCCGTCGGCGCCCGGCTCGCAGAGGTGACGCATGAAGAGGGACACGTAGGCCCTGGGGGACACGCTCAGGGCCACCCTCTGCCACTGACACCCCCCCCGGGACACCCAGGGGGGGCTTTGGCCCCACAGACCCCCTCCCCACAGGCCTTTGTCCCCACAGGCCACATCCCCACAGGCCTCTGTCCCCACAGGCCTTTGTCCCCACAGGCCCCATCCCCAGGGCCTCTGTCCCCAGGGTTCCTTGTCCCCAGGGTCTCTGTCCCCACAGAACCCCCTCCTCAGTGTCTCTGTCCCCAAGGTCCTTGTCCCCAGGGTCTCTTGTCCCCACAGACCCCATTCCCAGGGTCTCTGTCCCCAAGGTCCCTGTCCCCAAGGTCCTTTGTCCCCACAGGCCACATCCCCACAGGCCTCTGTCCCCACAGGCCTCTGTCCCCACAGGCCTCTGTCCCCACAGGCCTCTGTCCCCACAGGCCCCATCCCCAGGGCCTCTGTCCCCAAGGTCCTTGTCCCTGTCCCCACAGACCCCATCCCCAGGGTCCCTTGTCCCCATAGACCCCATCCCCAGGGTCTGTCCCCAAGGTCCTTGTCCCCAGGGTCTCTTGTCCCCACAGACCCCATCCCCAGGGCCTCTGTCCCCACAGGCCCCATCCCCACAGGCCTTTGTCCCCACAGACCCCATCCCCAGGGCCTCTGTCCCCACAGGCCCCATCCCCACAGGCCTTTGTCCCCACAGACCCCATCCCCAGGGCCTCTGTCCCCACAGGCCCCATCCCCACAGGCCTTTGTCCCCACAGACCCCATCCCCAGGGCCTCTGTCCCCACAGGCCCCATCCCCACAGGCCTTTGTCCCCACAGACCCCATCCCCAGGGCCTCTGTCCCCACAGGCCCCATCCCCACAGGCCTTTGTCCCCACAGACCCCATCCCCAGGGCCTCTGTCCCCACAGGCCCCATCCCCACAGGCCTTTGTCCCCACAGACCCCATCCCCAGGGCCTCTGTCCCCACAGGCCCCATCCCCATAGGCCTTTGTCCCCACAGACCCCATCCCCAGGGCCTCTGTCCCCAAGGTCCTTGTCCCTGTCCCCACAGACCCCATCCTCAGGGTCTCTGTCCCCAAGGTCCTTGTCCCCAGGGTCTCTTGTCTGCACAGAACTCCGTCCCCAGGGTCCCTTGTCCCCAGGGTCCCTTGTCCCCACAGACCCCATCCCCAGGGTTCCTTGTCCCCAGGGTCCTTGTCCCCAGAGTCTCTGTCCCCACAGAACCCGCTCCTCAGTGTCTCTGTCCCCAAGGTCCTTGTCCCCAGTGTCCCTTGTCCCCACAGACCCCATCCCCAGGGTCCCTTGTCCCCAAGGTCCTTGTCCCCCGGGTCCCTTGTCCCCACAGGCCCCATCCCTGGGGTCCCTGTCCCTGAGGTCCCTTGTCTCCGTTAGCTCCTGTCCCCAGTGTCCTCTGTCCCCAGTGTCCCCGTTGTCCCCGACGTCCCCGCGCCATCAGCCTGTCCCCTCACCAGGGCCTCTGTCCCCACAGGCCCCATCCCCATAGGCCTTTGTCCCCACAGACCCCATCCCCAGGGCCTCTGTCCCCAAGGTCCTTGTCCCTGTCCCCACAGACCCCATCCTCAGGGTCTCTGTCCCCAAGGTCCTTGTCCCCAGGGTCTCTTGTCTGCACAGAACTCCGTCCCCAGGGTCCCTTGTCCCCAGGGAAGGACAAGGGACAATGGGGACACAGGGGGACATGGGGGACATAAGGGGACGTGGGGGACACACAGGGGACACAGAAGGACAAGGGACAATGGGGACACAGGGGGACATGGGACGATGGGGACAAAGAGGGACACAGGACAACAGGGGGACATGAGAAGATGGGGACACACAGGGAGGTGGGGGACACGGGGGGACACAGAAGGACAAGGGACAATGGGGACACAGGGGGACATGGGGACAAGGAGGGACACAGGACAACGGGGGGACACGAGAAGATGGGGACAGAGAGGGACGTGGGGGACACGGGGACAACATGGGCACAGGGGGACCCCCGTGAAGGCCACAAAGATCTGGGGACAAACACAAGGACTTGGGGACACGTGTGGGGACTTTGGGGACATGAGGACACAAGGACACGGGGACACACGTGGGGACACTGGAGGACAACATGGGGACACAGGGACACACGTGGGGACCCCTCCCTCCTGCTCCACCTGTGTCGGTGTCACCCCCTCTTACTGGTGCCACCATCTGTCCTCGACACCACCCCCTGTCCCCAATGCCACCATCTGTCCCCGATGCCACCGCCTGTCCCCAACACCACCCCCTGTCCCCGCTGCCACCTCCTTGTCCCTGATGCCACCCCCTGCCCCCCGTGTCCCCCCCTGTCCCCACTGTCACCTCCTTATCCCTGATGCCACCCCATCCCCACTGTCTTCCCTTTGTCCCCAGTGCCACCTCCTGTCCCTGGTGTCACCTCCTCATCCCTAGTGCCACCCCTTGCCCCCGCTGTCACCTCCTTATCTCTGATGCCACCTCCTGTTCCTGCTGACACCCCCTTGTCTCCAATGGCCACCCCTTGTCCCCGATGCCACCCATTGTCCCTGGTGTCACCAGGAGGGACACAGGACAACGGGGGGACACGAGAAGATGGGGACAGAGAGGGACGTGGGGGACACGGGGACAACATGGGCACAGGGGGACCCCCGTGAAGGCCACAAAGATCTGGGGACAAACACAAGGACTTGGGGACACGTGTGGGGACTTTGGGGACATGAGGACACAAGGACACGGGGACACACGTGGGGACACTGGAGGACAACATGGGGACACAGGGACACACGTGGGGACCCCTCCCTCCTGCTCCACCTGTGTCGGTGTCACCCCCTCTTACTGGTGCCACCATCTGTCCTCGACACCACCCCCTGTCCCCAATGCCACCATCTGTCCCCGATGCCACCGCCTGTCCCCAACACCACCCCCTGTCCCCGATGTCACCCCCTGTCCATGATGTCCCCCCCTTGTCCCTGATGCCCCCCCCTTGTCCCTGATGCCCCCCCCTTGTCCCTGATGCCCCCCCCTTGTCCCTGATGCCCCCCCCTTGTCCCTGATGCCCCCCCCTTGTCCCTGATGCCCCCCCCTTGTCCCTGATGCCCCCCCCTTGTCCCTGATGCCCCCCCCTTGTCCCTGATGCCCCCCCCTTGTCCCTGATGCCCCCCCCTTGTCCCTGATGCCCCCCCCTTGTCCCTGATGCCCCCCCCTTGTCCCTGATGCCCCCCCCTTGTCCCTGATGCCCCCCCCTTGTCCCTGATGCCCCCCCCTTGTCCCTGATGCCCCCCCCTTGTCCCTGATGCCCCCCCCTTGTCCCTGATGCCCCCCCCTTGTCCCTGATGCCCCCCCCTTGTCCCTGATGCCCCCCCCTTGTCCCTGATGCCCCCCCCTTGTCCCTGATGCCCCCCCCTTGTCCCTGATGCCCCCCCCTTGTCCCTGATGCCCCCCCCTTGTCCCTGATGCCCCCCCCTTGTCCCTGATGCCCCCCCCTTGTCCCTGATGCCCCCCCCTTGTCCCTGATGCCCCCCCCTTGTCCCTGATGCCCCCCCCTTGTCCCTGATGCCCCCCCCTTGTCCCTGATGCCCCCCCCTTGTCCCTGATGCCCCCCCCTTGTCCCTGATGCCCCCCCCTTGTCCCTGATGCCCCCCCCTTGTCCCTGATGCCCCCCCCTTGTCCCTGATGCCCCCCCCTTGTCCCTGATGCCCCCCCCTTGTCCCTGATGCCCCCCCCTTGTCCCTGATGCCCCCCCCTTGTCCCTGATGCCCCCCCCTTGTCCCTGATGCCCCCCCCTTGTCCCTGATGCCCCCCCCTTGTCCCTGATGCCCCCCCCTTGTCCCTGATGCCCCCCCCTTGTCCCTGATGCCCCCCCCTTGTCCCTGATGCCCCCCCCTTGTCCCTGATGCCCCCCCCTTGTCCCTGATGCCCCCCCCTTGTCCCTGATGCCCCCCCCTTGTCCCTGATGCCCCCCCCTTGTCCCTGATGCCCCCCCCTTGTCCCTGATGCCCCCCCCTTGTCCCTGATGCCCCCCCCTTGTCCCTGATGCCCCCCCCTTGTCCCTGATGCCCCCCCCTTGTCCCTGATGCCCCCCCCTTGTCCCTGATGCCCCCCCCTTGTCCCTGATGCCCCCCCCTTGTCCCTGATGCCCCCCCCTTGTCCCTGATGCCCCCCCCTTGTCCCTGATGCCCCCCCCTTGTCCCTGATGCCCCCCCCTTGTCCCTGATGCCCCCCCCTTGTCCCTGATGCCCCCCCCTTGTCCCTGATGCCCCCCCCTTGTCCCTGATGCCCCCCCCTTGTCCCTGATGCCCCCCCCTTGTCCCTGATGCCCCCCCCTTGTCCCTGATGCCCCCCCCTTGTCCCTGATGCCCCCCCCTTGTCCCTGATGCCCCCCCCTTGTCCCTGATGCCCCCCCCTTGTCCCTGATGCCCCCCCCTTGTCCCTGATGCCCCCCCCTTGTCCCTGATGCCCCCCCCTTGTCCCTGATGCCCCCCCCTTGTCCCTGATGCCCCCCCCTTGTCCCTGATGCCCCCCCCTTGTCCCTGATGCCCCCCCCTTGTCCCTGATGCCCCCCCCTTGTCCCTGATGCCCCCCCCTTGTCCCTGATGCCCCCCCCTTGTCCCTGATGCCCCCCCCTTGTCCCTGATGCCCCCCCCTTGTCCCTGATGCCCCCCCCTTGTCCCTGATGCCCCCCCCTTGTCCCTGATGCCCCCCCCTTGTCCCTGATGCCCCCCCCTTGTCCCTGATGCCCCCCCCTTGTCCCTGATGCCCCCCCCTTGTCCCTGATGTCACCCCCTTGTCCCTGATGCCACCCCCTGTCCGTGATGTCACTCCCTTGTCCCCCATGTCCCCCCTTGTCCCCAGTGTCAACCCCTGTCTGTGATGTCACCCCCTTGTCCCCATTGTCACCTACTTGTCCCTGATGCCACCCCGTGTCCGTGATGTCACCCCCTTGTCCCCAAGTGTCACCCCCTGTCCGCGATGTCACCCCT